GGGAGACATGAAAAAAAATAATTTGTAAATTATCAAGGGTTCATGGGGATGGAAGGGTGGGGGAAGGGGGAAATGAGCTGATATCAAGGGCTCAAGTAGAAAGTGTTTAGAAACTGATGATGGCAACATATGTACAAAGGTGCTTGACACAATGGATGGATGGATGGATGGATGGATGGATTGTGTTAAGAGATGTAAGAGTCCCCAATGCCCAATAAAATGATTAAAAAGAAAAAAAAGTGCACACTCAATAAAATCAATAAAAGAAAAAAAAAAGCCCTATGTTCTTTCTACCTATTATCTCTTCCCTTCTCCCAGAGCCCTGGCGGCCACTAATACTTTTTTCAACTATGTAAGCACAACATTTGCTACTTCAACCACTTTTACATATGTAATTCACTGACATCAATTATGTTCACCATTATGTATAACCATCACCACTATACATTTCTAAATTTTACATCACCAGTAACAGAAAACCTTAAGAAGTAACTTCCATTCCCCATTCCACTTACCCCTGGAAAGCAGTAATAAACGTCAGTCTCTAGGCATCTCAAAAACTCAAACTCACTGCCATTGCGCGACTTTATAGCACAGAGTAGAACTGTCCCTATGAGTTTCTGAGACTAAATCTTTACCAGAGTAGAAAACCCAGTCTTTTTCCTGCAGAGCAGCTGGTGGTTTCAAACTGCTGATTCAAACATCACTAGGGCTCCAGTTCCATGCAGCTACCTATCCTAAATATTCCATATAAGTAGAATCATAATTTGTTGTTTCTGGTTCATTTGGCACTTTACAAAGTTAACACACGTTACACGGATCAGAAATTCATTCATTTTTGTGGATGAATAATATTCCATTGTATAATATAAAATGTATACATAGTACATAATATTAAAATAACCACTGCTATCAAGACAATTCTGACTCACAGTGACGCTGTAAGACAGAATAGAACTGCCTCTTTCCGTTTCTGAGACTTCTGGTGGGTTAGAACTGCAGGCCTTCCAGTTAGCAGCTCAATTCATAACTCACTATGCCACCAGGGATCCTTGTATATTAATAGACTATACACACACACACTCACATAGTGGTAAAATATAAGTAACACAAAATTTACCATTCTAGGCATTTTTAAGAGTACAATGCAGTAACATGAATTATATTCACCACATTATATATCACTACTACCTAGTCCCCAAAAGTTTTCCTCTTCCCAAAGAGAAACCCAGTACCTTTTAAGCAATAACTCCTCATTCCTTTCTCTACCCAGTCCCTGGCAACCACTAATGAACTTTGTCTCTATGTAGATGTGTAAGCTAGGTACTTCATGTAGGTAAAATCACATATTTTCCTTTCATGCCTGAACTGCTTCACTCAGCATGTTTTAGGGTTCATCATGTAGCACATACTAAAAGTTCAGTTCTCTTTATGGCTGGAAAGTATTCCACTGGATATACCTAAGACAGTTTGCTTATCCATTCATTTGTGATGAACACCTGGCCATTACTACCTTTTGGCTACTGGGAATAATTTTATGCTGCAAGTCATTTGGTTATGTATACCTGGAAGTGAGACTGCAAGGTTATATGATAAGTCTACATTTAACTTTTTGAGAAACCACCCAACTGTTTTTCATAGCAGATGCACCATTTACAATTCCACCACTTCTGAATAAGGGTTCCTATAAGGTATTTTCTAATGATATGGTAAGACAATCAGAAATAAAGCTCATCAATTGGAGAAGATAATTAAGAATGATTAATCTACTCATAAAATTATTAGATCCTGAGTAGTCAAGAGTTACATGTAAACTCAGTTCCTCTGAATATGTACTGTACATAATGGCAGCAGAATCATTATCCCATATAAAAATGGATATGTCCACCCATAGTCCTTAAAGACTTGTGGACCTAATTCCTTTCACACGCCTTGCCCTTTCCACACATACATTGCCATCAAGTGGGTGACAACCTACAGGAACCTTATGGACAACAAAACAACCCTGCCCAGTCCTGTGCAAAACAAGGCAAGGGCTGATCGCAGAACAATCAAGAGCTCACATGCAAGTTCAAGATGAAGCTGAAGAAAATTAAAACAAGTCCCAGGGAGTCCATATATTGATATATATATGGAGGTGCCCCCACCAAAAAAAAAAAAAAAAACAGAATACACCCCCCCCACTTCACAAAGCGATGTATTTAATTTTTACCAAACAATCTTATCACTTTCAGAGTACTCTCCATTACACTTAATACATTTGTCAAATCTGCGATTACATTCTTGGAAACATTTTAAAAACTTATCTGTTTGAATGGCTTACAGCACCTTCCTCGTTTTTTTCTGCACCTCTTCTACATCCTCAAATCGCTTTCCTTTCATGTCCCAAAGCATTGACAGAAACACAGAGCAAGGTCAGGTGAGTAAGGTGCTTGGGGCAAAAGAGACATGCTGTTTTTTACCCAAAACTGGCACACTGAGATAGCTGTGTGAGCAGGTGCATTGTCATGGTGGCAAAACCAGTTCCATCTGCCACAAATCAGGCCTATTTTGTTGCACACTGTTATACTCTTTTCAGAACCTCTAAATCAGTGGTTCTCAACCTGGGGAACGAATGACCCTTTCACAGGGGTTGCCTGATTCATAACAGTAGAAAAATTACAGTTATGAAGTAGCAACAAAAATAATTTTATGGTTGGGGGGTCATCACAACATGAGGAACTGTATGAAAGGGTCGTAGCATTAGGAAGGTTGAGAACCACTGCTCTAAATAGAAAGCTGATTAACAGTCTGACCTGGAGGAACAAACTCCCAAATGCACTATCCCCCTCACATCAAAGTAACAAATAAGCATCAGTTTTTTGGGGGAACCCTCTCGTGTATATATACTGTATGTATAAATATATACTGTATATATACGTGTGTGTATATATATATATATTCCGTGAAGCAAATTAACATGTTTTGAAGAAGAAACTGTTGTTTCTCCTATAAACAGTAAATCCTTAAAGATTTCTATTCCCTCCCCAACAAGAAGAGGACAAATACACATTTTGACTATAATAACTAATGGTATATGGATAAAGGAGCTCTGGTGGTGTAATGGTTACACTTTGTACTACAAACCTCAAGGACAGCAGTTTGAAACCACCAGATGTCCTCAGGAGAAAGATGAGGCTTTCTACTCCCAAAAAGTGTTACTTACAGTCTCGGACACCCACAGGGGCACTTCTATCCAGCCTGCAGGGGCACTATGAGTCAGAATCAGCTCATTAGCAGTAAGTTTAGAGTGTTTTGCTTGTTTGGGGGCTTTTTGTTTTGTTTTGATTTTGATTTTTAGTATACTTTCAACTACCACCTACATTTATTATTTTTTTAAAACTTATCTTCCCAATAGAGTATTCCCTAATGACAAGCGAAAGCGCCAAAAATGCCGCAAAGCAGTAGCCTCAAAACTGTTTCAACATGAACCCTCCAATACTTAAATCTGTTGGCAAGATTATGAACTCTATTTTTCAAGAATATTTTATAAGTGCTCAAAAATCAAACTCTTCATCAAAGAGGTTTATTATACATCAGATACCTGAGTCTCCCGCCTCAGCACACTCAATCATTTTGCTGCCACCAGTAAACTATTCTGTGATACATTATTAAGAGAACCCCTTACCATACCACATACCTTTTAAGCCTCATGTAGAACAAATGTATTTCTGTTTTTCAGGAAGTCTCCCCCTCAAATATCACAACTCTACTGTCCATGTATTCCTTTATAGTCGGTAATATTTTTCATGTTCCTAAAATGGGTATGTTCTCCAACCTTTGTCCCCACATCAGGCTTGATTATCAAAATAAACAAGCATAATTTTTTTTTCATTTTGGTCAACTAATACTTTATAATATTAAACTATTCTCTTCTATAAACTGAGTTATAAATGCAAATAAAGTACTTTAAAGGTTATAGGTTAGTTATCTCTAGATTTTAACCAACTACTAATAGCTCACTTCAGACTGATATTTAGATAGTTACCTATACTTAGCCATGGTGATCTCTGGCATAATTTATTCAATACCAAAATAGCTAGAATGGTATATAGCAGGACTGAGACACAGCAATAGAGAAGTCATGTAAGAATACATGTAGGAACACAAAATTCACATATTATAATGAGATTTACCCATACTAGTAACTTTCCCTTCCCATTAGAAAGTACACTGATACTGCAAAACATATGCTTAATAAGAAATAACAACTTAATTTTTTGGTAACAATCCACACTGACAGTAATTAACATGTCAGTGCTCAATATAAAACACAGCACATTTTTAGGACAGGGAATCTATTCTGTTTGATATTGTAATGGTGAATGCATATTTTACATATTTGTCAAAACCAGTAGGAATGTACAACACAAACAATAAACCCTAATGTGAATTTTGAACTTTAGTTAATATTACTCTTATCAATACTGGTTCAATTGTAACAAACGTACCATAGAAATGTGAAATGCTAAAAGAAGCAACAATGTGGGAAGGGGTAAGCAGGAATTCTGTACTTTCTTCATAATTTTCTGTAACTTTTCTAAACTACTCTAAAAAATAAGTCTCTTAAAAAACTACATGTGACAACAAAAATATTATGTATAAATGAGTTTTAAGAACAGATTTATTTTTTATAGCTTTCAAATACTATTCTTGTAAACCGTCATTTCTTCCTCTGCCTTGTAATTATCCCTTAATGATAATAAAAAATAAATGAAGGAATAAACAAAGAATGATAGGTGTGATTTATTCCACAAATGCTATTAGAAATACCAAACTATTTACCTTACTCTAAGAACATAATATAACTTCCCTTGTTTAAGTCTACTTGGCAAAAAAAGTCGTAAGAGTCTAAAATTCCTCTTTTTCATCTTTCTTGTCTTGTAGAGAAAAGGATAACTGCAGTGGCGAGAAGCTAGGAAAAGAAATGCAATGACCTTTGTACATTACACAAAACTTACCCACTTGAAGGATCTAAGGCAATAGCTCTGGGTTGATCCAACTCTTGCCAATATAAAACTTTTCGCAAAGAGCCATCTAAATTAGAAACTTCAATCCGATTACTTTCAGAATCTGTCCAGTACAATTTTTCTCCAAGCCAATCACATGCTATCCCATCAGGGGATAATAATCCGGAGACAACAACATTTTGCACACTCTCAGTTTTGTTAAACTCTGTTCGTTTAATGGCTTCTTCGCTTACATCACTCCAGTACAACCAGCCATGACCAAACACAAAGTCCACCGCAGCTGCATCCTCCAAGCCTCCGACTACAATCGTAGCGTTATCTCTGCCATTTGTAGCATCAACCAACCGCAAGTCCCGTCTGTTTGCATAAAGCAACAAAGGGGCCGCTAAAAATGAAAAAAAGAGAAAAATATGTAAGTAAAATGGAACAAACTGTATTGGGTTTTTTTATACATCAGGTTTCAATCAGCATTAGTCAGAAAACACAATAAAAAAATTTAAAGAATAAATAAATCTACAAACAACTGATTCAAATCTTCTCACACAAAAAAGAGTATTTTTAAAGCATTTTGAAATCAAAGTAGCAAGGAAGAATTAACTCTACCAGGGCAGTCTTGTCTTGTTAAAATCGTCTGTCAGATAAAAGATTAGCCATACAGAATCTTGTTAAATGTTGGTAACGATATGGAGTCACTGTAAAACTGGTAGGATGATGCAAAATGGGGCCTCCATTTTGGAAAGAAGATTGGCTATTTCTTAAAAGATTTTATGTCTGCCAAATGTTCCAGTCATTCCACACCTAGGATATATATTCAAGAACTAAAAGCATGTGCCAATACAAAAATGTGTACACAATGTTCACACCAGACTTATTTGTAGTAACCCAAACTGAAATCAAACAAATGCATTCATGTATACATGAATGAAGTGTGCTACTCAACAACAAATGGAAATGAACTAGTATACACATAACATGAATTAATCTCAAAATAATTAAAAGCTGAAAAAAGCCAGACCTTCATAAGAGAATGTATACTACATTATTCCATTTATATGCAAGTTTAGAAAATGCAAACTACTCTATATTTTAACAAAAAGTAGATCAGTAGTTGCCTGAAGGTAGGAAGAGGAAATAAAGAACAAGAGGGAAGGACATGAAGGGGCATAAAGAAACATTTGTAGGTGATGGCTATTATCTTGATTATGACGGTACATGGGTTCAGAGGTGTGTACATGCCAAAACCCTTTATCTAAGCATAATTCATTTTGTATACTAATTGTATCTTAATAAGACAGTTAGACAGTGTGGCAGAAAAACAGTTCTTAATACATCTATTCTGTTGGATGTTATTAGAATGGCCTTTAGATAAGATATAATAATAACTCAAAATATAAAGCTTCTTTTAAAAAAATACACCCACTCCTAATACATTGACAGTTAGGTTCCCAAGACCAGGTTATTATGCAGAAATCAGCATTATACAAAAATGGAAGATGACTATATCTGAAAACAAAATGGAACTAACCACATCATTATATAACTGCCAAAGCACTGGGAATAATGACCCAGTTAAGTTGATAAATATCTGTAACCATCACAGCCAGTATTACTCTGACCTCAGCATTTGTTACTGCCAGATAGATGTCATTAATAAGCAAAACCATCAAATAGTAATTTGCTACAAGGATAAATGCAGATGTCAAATGAGTCAATAATTAAGGAATCAATGTAATATTTAATTTTAGTTAAAGCTTTTAGGCCTTTAAGTAGTATAAATTCCATGGTTTCAAATATACACATAAACTTCTCACATTTGCCTTCAGGGTATCAAGTAATGAAAGATCTAGAGCAGGGGCCACTGGCAAACTTTTGAGATGGAAGAACCAACCCTGTCCCTCACAACCATTGCAAATTATTTGAGAGCCATATATTTTTTACAGACAAATGAAATCACCATTATCTGAATAATATCCTTTCATTCTTTTCAATTTTACTTCAGAGCCACATGTATGCACTGAGTGTGGCTGCAGAGCCACTGTGTGTCGGCCCTGGTCTAGAGCACCATTAATCATCTGCTAGAGCTTGCAGTGATGATGGAAATGTTCTCTCCACTGTACAGAGCACAATAGCTACCAGCCACCTGTGGCTACAGAACATTTGAAATGTGGCTACTATGACGAATATACTAAAATTTTTAATTTAATAATAAATGACTTCAATAGACAGCTGTAGCTAATAACTTGTACATTAGACAGAACAACTCTTGAGGCTAGGATAAAGAACACAAATGAGGTAGCAAAAATAAGACCCGAGTTATGATTCAAAAATCAAGATCAACCCTTCACACATTGATTTAACCAGTCCCATCTTAGACTGACTTTCATAAACTCAAACCAAACCCACTGCCGTCAAGTCACTTCTAACTCATGGCCCTTGTGGTTCCCAAGACTGTGACTCTCCGGAAGTAGAAAGCCTCATCTTTCTCCCATGGACCATGGTGGTTTCAGACTGCTAACCTTCTGGTTAAAAGTCCAATGAGTTAACCACAATGCCACCAGGGCTTCTGCTACTCTCATACTATAAGCCAAATAGAAGCAAGCATCAAGAAAAAGGTCACTATAGGTTAGTGGTTCAAACCCACCAGCCATTCCTCGTCAGAAAGATGAAGCCATTTGCTCCGGTAAGATGTACAGCTTTCATAACATCGATCAAAAAGACAGTGCTCTACATCCTACGTATCTGAATACAGACTAGGGTCCTACAAGTTTGTGAGCAGTCATCTCAAGTACAAACATTGGTCTCTGCCCATCCAGAAAAAAGAAGCGTGACCAAAAACAAGACACATGAAAACAATTAGTCCAATGGACTAATGGGCCACGTAAACACCAATTTCCACAACTAAAAGCAGTTTCAAATTAAAAAATGAAAAACTTATTATAGTTAAAACAGCTTTTGTAAGGGAGGAGGAGAAATAGCTCTCCTCTACCCCCCTGCTACACTTAACCTTGTTTTACTTCTTTTGCTATTAAAACTTGTTTACAGATCACCTTCTTTAAAAAAAACAGCTTTGGTTCCGTGCCCCTGATCCCCTCTGGAACTTGTGTCCTATCACTTGCTCCCTATGTCTCTTTTTTAATAGTTTTATTGGCATCTAGTTGACATCTCATACAATTTAATCATTCAATCATATTAAGAAGAGTTGTACAATTATCACCTCAATCAATTTCCAAACATTTTCACCTCATAGTCATTGTTGTTTGCTCCCCGTTTCCCTCTAACTTCCCCTCCCAAATCCCTAGGTATTTATAAATCCAATTACTCTCTCTATAGATTTACCTATCCTGGATTTCATATACAGAAAATCATAAAAAACACAGGAACAACAAAAACAATACAATAAAAACTCAATTGAAAAGCAGAAAATATTAAAATGGAAACAACTTTAAAATGGGTCAAAAGGGAAATCAAATGATAAGGTGTTACACTTTGACCTAACTATATCTGTCATAAACAATGTTAAAATGTTCTCTGTCTGGGCAGCAAGGGAAGTAATCAAGTTCCTGAGGAATCCTGAAAATAGACTTCTGACTTGGGGGACAGGGCTTGGCACCTCATTAGTGAAGGAGCCGTGAAAGGAGCACTTCTGAAACGGAGAGATGGCTAAGAAGTCCCGCACTCAGAAGTTTCTGCAAGAGTTTCAAAATTTTCCCTTTCCCTTTTGCTGAAGAAGAAGGCAGGGATATTAATAATTACAGCTTGGGGGTGAAGGGGTTCCCTATTTGCCTAGGATATGGTTCTCATTGTTTATCTTATTCGCATGAGGTTTGGGGAGTGGGGTATAATCATTCTTCTTTTGCAGCAACTACGGTTCTTATTTCTACAAGAGGCTTTAGGGGGAAAGTCGGTAATATCTCCAAGGCCGCTCCTACCCTGTTATCTATCTGTCCACTCCCTAATGTAGAACTGGAAACGCAATAATTGGTATGGACTCGTTGTCAAGGAGAACGGCCTAAGATATTGTTAAATCATACAGACTTTAATTAAGATAGTGGATTGGAGCCCTCATGGAGACTTCATTAATAAATTTTCTAAAATACCTTTAAGATGGCACATACATAACGGTTCTTTGAAAGGAACTGGCAATGAAACTTTATTTGGCATGACGGAGGATTAACCCCCTCGTATGCCGCATTTGTTGGGAGATACAAACTCTCAAAGTCATTTATGGAAATTATTACCATCTGGGTAGCCAATGAAAACCTGGATTAGCAATTTATGTCTATCAACATTTCTAATACTGTTGCGCCTATTAGTGTAAATCTTCATGTTAATGCTACTCGCTATAGTCAAGCTTGTGTGAAAATTCCTTATGTTATCTTATCAGGAAATACTACTTGGAATTCTAGTACAGGGGTTTTGACTTGTTCTTCAAATTGTACTTTAAAACATTGTATAAATTTTACCTGGTGGAAAACTTTTAACCAAACCCGAGACAGTCTGTATCTTGTTAAAGCAAGTCCTGAGATTTGGTTACCTGTCAATTTAACTCAACCCTGGAGCGAATCTGCGGGAGTAATACAGATCTACAATGCCTTGACTGAATTGACCCATCGAACAACAAAGAGAATGATTGGACTGATAATAGCCACAGTGATTGGACTTGTAGCTGTAGCATCACTGCAGCTGTGGCGGGAGTTGCTTTGCAGTAAGAAATACAAACAGCAGACTTTGTTCAAGGGTGGCATAAGATTAAGACATCGTCAACTTACAACAAACAGAGTTGTGGACGGGAGATCAGATATCTGTGTTAGCTACTCGAGTTATGCTTCCATATGATTTGAACACCTCTTATTTTGGTATTACTCCTGTTCCGTATAATGTTAGTAAGGATTGGAAAAAGATTAGAAATTAATTGGACATAAAAATGTATCTTTAGAAATTCAGTTATAAGAATATCGAATTGGTGAAACTTTCAGGAGACAATTACCCAAACTTACTGGTAATGAAATTTTTCAGGGAATTGCTAAGACACTGTCTTCTATTAACCCTTTGGAACAAGCAAAAGCTTTATTATCTTTAACCACTGGTAGTGTTATTCTATTAATCATTAAGGTTATGGTTGAATTATTGTCCTTAAGTACAAAGTTACATGAAGTACACCTGCATACTTTGCCCCCTCCCCAAACGGGGGTGTAAGGCAAAGGTTGGATAGCCAGAGACGGATAAGATTGAGTCCAAGTCTCTCAACCTGAGACAGGCACAATCATCTGCCGGCATTTTGAGAAAAGCCATCTTTAATAAAATAAAAAAGGGAGATATGAAGGAGCCATGAAAGGAGCACTGTGTCTCGTGTCATGTACGCAAGCATCTGTCCTAGCTGGTTCT